CTCGCACCTTCTAGGTTTTCTTACTTCACCTCAATTAGACAGAGCTGTGAAGCCTCTCTTCCATGGCCCCCCAAGACTGTGTACACATTTCTATTATATTTTTTTAATCCCTTTGTACCATAGATATTTGTTTTATGTCTGTGCTTCCAATGGGAACTATGTTAGGCGTCTTTTAGTCCATAAGTTCTTTGTTCATTCACCAGGGATTTTTTTCAGGCCTTTTACGTCTTGGGTCTGGGAAACCAAGGTAACTAAAATATGATAAGGGCTTCCCTGGTGGCTCACCGAGTGAAGAATCCTCCTGCAATGCAGGAGAAACAAGTTTAATCCTTGAGTCAGGAAGATCCCCTGGAGTAGGAACTGGCTCCCCACTCCAGTATCCTTGCCTGGAGAATCCCATGGACAGAGGAGCCTGGGGGTCTACAGTCCACGGGGCTGCAAAGAGTCGAACATGGACTGAGTGACTAACACTTGCAAAATATGATCAACAGAGTACAATCATGCCTGTTAAATTACAACCGTTTAGCAGTGATTTCTTGAATGAGTAAAGGAAGGGAAAATGAGTAAATGCATCACTAACACCAAGAGCTGTGTGGAGAGCTATTTCCCAGCTGAGGCAGCAGGAAGCATGGTAGAAGTCATACATGTTTCTCAAATGATACTGCGTAAAAAGAACACATTACGGAGGGACCTTCACGTCCGAGTCTTGTCTTATCCTTAACTACTTTCTTTCTTGCTTCTTTTTCTTCTTCATTGTCCCCATCACCTATCACATTGGTGTTGGCCTCATGGTAATACTAGCCTCATGTTATCAACAAACATTCACAGAGGGCTACCTATTTGTTCAGTTAGGGTTTTCCAAATCAAATGTATTGATTCATTGTCCGTGTTCTACTCTGATATGGAAAGGAAGTGTCTGGTTACCACTGTAAATTCCGCTGGGTATTTGATCACTAACACGTAACACTGCACATTTTCTCTCTGACCATTTCTCTGCTCTAAAGCAGATCATTAAATTGCTCCCAGGCAGAAAGACCATGGACCAAAACAGCAGGGCACTTTTGTAATAAGACCTTGTAAATTGAAAGCCCTGGCTATCTCTCCCACTGTGAGAACCCGCTGAGACTGGTTCCTTTTAACATGGCATTAATAAGCGCTGCAGACCCAGTTAATTAAAGACAGTATATCTAGGCAGATAGGCATGGCAACTCTTAAAAACCAGTTCTTATTTTTAAGATGATTTTACTCTATGGAAGCTGACTCTGGTTAAATTGCCCAGTTCTTCCAAAACTCAGTTTTCATGTTATGTATGGAACGGTGGACCTGAGATGGTCCACACTCCTGACTTGAGCCTGTGCTGGAATTTGTAACATGTTCTGCGCCACAAAGTCAGATGCCAGGGCCATCTAGCTGTGATTAACCAAGTCCATTTGTTAAATCCCCGCTGGTTAAAGGAAAGGCTTATAATTGCAATATCATGGCCCTACAGTTACAAACCGGGGGCCTGCTGGGAAGCCCAGACCCCAGTGTGGAGGTGTCATGAAAGCCTCCGAGTCCGTGGAGGTTGTTAATCACTCAATTAGACTCTCATTATCATCTGCCCGCATCAAAAAGACTTCCCGCAGTCCAGGAGGGGTTGTAACCCGTCCCTGACAGGTGACCCCCTCCTCAGACACAATGCCTACGATGGCCTCAGAGGACGCGCCAGCACGACAGGGCCCGCATCTGAGCCCAGGCAGATGCCCAGGGGGCTCAGACAGGAGATCAAAGGCCGGGAAACAGCTGACCCCAGACTGGCTGGTGTCAGCCTGGTGTTCCCTCTGTCAAAGGCAGATGGAGGCCCAGCTTATTGATTGCCTCCCTCCGTATTCGGCCAGGAATAAAAGGCCTGGCCTGCAGGCGGGGAGGGCGATGTTCAGGGGGAATGTTCAGCGTGGGGGCCCACAGCGGCCCAGAGGTGAGAAGCCTGCTAGCCCTTCCTTCCTTTGGGAGAGGCCTGCTGGAGGAAACTGAGGCTAAAGTTTCATCTTTTCCACCACATAGTATTACGCCAAGAAGATAGAACCAGCAGTGGGCACAGTTTCAGGCAGAGTTGTTTAAATATTTTTCAAATGCACAGCAGGTCTTCTTGGGGTGACACTGTTCCCTGGGGACCCAGAAACCATCTGAGGATTCCATGGGCCAAGCAACGGAACACACAAATTTGTATCATTTTTTTTTTAATTCCCCATATAAGCAATATCGTATGACATTTTTCTTTCTCTGTCTGACTTGCTTATTAGCTCAGTATCTTTTTAGCTTTGTCATTTCTGGAACATCATATAAATGGAAATGTGGTGTGTAGCCTTTACAGATTGGGTTTCTTCACTTGGCAATTGGCATTTAAAAGTCATTTCTGTCTGCCCGTGATTTACTGAATAGTGTTCCCTTATATGCATATGGCTCAGATGGTAAGGAATCTACCGACAATGAGGGAGGCCCAGGTTCAATCCCTGGGTCAGGAAGATTCCCTGGAGGAGGGCATGGCAACCCACTCCAGTGTTCTTGCCTGGAGAAGCCCATGGACAGAGGAGCCTGGTGGGCTACAGCCCGTGGGGTCGCAAAGAGTTGGACACGACTGAGCGACTAACACTTTCCTTATACTACACTGTGCGGATGCGCTGCCCAGCACAGCACTGAGTACGGAAGGCTGCTGTACCCATGTGTGTGCTTGCTTTATACGGATACAAGCGTTAAGTCAGTTGGGCAGTTACATAGGTGCGTGATTCCTGGGCTGTAGGTCAAAAATGTATTTAGTTTTATAAGAAATTGCCAAATTATAATACAAAGTGGCTGTATCGTTTTGTATAAATGAGAGCTTCTGTTGTTCTTCACCCTTACCAGCATTAGTATTATCAGAAAGTTGTTGTTGAGTTTTAACCACTCTCATAGGTGTGTATTGGGCCCAGGGGGCTCAGACGGTAAAGAATCTGCCTGCCAATGCAAGAGACTCAGGTTCGAGCCCTGAGTTTGAAAGATCCCCTGGAGAAAGAAATGGCAACCCACTCCAGTATTCTTGCCTAGGAAATCCTATAGACAGAGGAGCCTGGTGGGCTACACAGTCCATGTGGTTGCAAAAGAGCTGGGCATGATTTATCAACATAACAATATGAGTGCAGTGTATCTTGTATTTTAATTTGCATTTCTGTTATGACCGATGATACTGAGTATATTTTCGTAGCTATTTTCCAACTGTATATCTCTTCAGTAAGGTGTCTGTTCAGATCTTTGGCCCATTTTTAAAATTGGATTGTTTTCTTATTGTTGAGGTTAAGAGTTCTTTGCACATTTTGCATGCACATTCTTAATCAAATATCTGCTTTACAAATATAAGCCTGTCTTTAGTTTATCTTCATTGTGTTAATAGTATAATAATTCACAAACCAGAAGTTTTTAATTTTTAGGAAGTCCAAAATGCCATTTTTTTCATCCTTAAACAGAACTGTTTTAATTGGATGCTAAGAATTATAAAGAATATGAATCTGTGAAGGGATTATTTTTCTCCCATAAAACTTCAATTTTCAGTGGGAACAAAAAAATTAGACATATGCTATAGATTCTGTTTTAGTGACATCTGAATTGATTGTAACTAAGTTGATTTATTTAAATGTGGCATTTCAACTATTCTACAGAAATTGTTTGCAGTCACTCATTCACTTTTTCAATTTATAGCTATCCCTGATCTGGTCTTCCCCATTTATTACCCTTTCAAAGGCCTTCTTTGCAAAATCTTTAAAAGTTTTTAATGTACCTCTCTACCCATCTAGTCAAAAAGAAATACACTATATTGCAAGGTGGGGAGACCTATATAATATACACAACACACCTAATGCATACCCCAGCAGCTAACAAGCAGTAGTTAAATGGTGTCATCATCAGTGGTAGTAGTTCTTAGTTGTTGTTCAGTCGCTCAGTCATGTCTGATTCTGTGGCCCTGTGGACTGCAACACACCAAGCCTCCCTGTCCTTCACTATCTCCCAGTTTGCTCAAACTCATGTCCATTGAGTTGATGATGCCGTCCAACCATCTCATCCTTGGTCACCCCCTTCTCCTGCCCTCAATCTTTACCAGCATCAGGGTCTTACTAACAAGCAAATTATAACAATGGAGTAAAAGTCCTGACTGTATCTATGTATTTATTTGGCCCTAGAAGCCAGAGGTCCACATAACCTCTATGAAGAACCACTAGTATCGTATGTGAAAGTTTATATAGCTTGGCATAGTGGTTGAGAGCAAAGGTTTCAGATCTAGGCTTAGCCCACATCCTGTTTCCTCTGTGAAGCTGGGTGACTGTGGGCAAATTCATCTTAGTGTACCACATCTTCCTTATCTGTAAAATGAGTGGTAATAGCACTATCCCCCTTATAGGACTGTCAGAAAGTTAACTTGGTTAATGCCTGTACAGTCCTGCAAAGAATGGTTATCCAAATGAAGAGTACATAATACTTTTCCTTTATTCTTTAATTGGAGGAAAGTTGCTTTACGATGTTAGTGGATGCAGTGGGGGAAGGAGAGAGCGGCGCAAATGCAGGAAGTAGCATCAACATATGTGAAGAATGCGTGTGGGTGCTAAGTCCCTTGAGTCGTGTCTGAGTCTTTGCGACCCCGTGGTCTGTAGCCAGTCAGACTCCTCTGTCTGTGGAACTCTCCAGGCAAGAATACTGGGTGGGTTGCCGTGCCCGCCTCCAGGGGATCTTCCTAACCCAGGGGTCAAATCCACGTCTCTTGCTGTTCTTGCATTGCCAGGCGGGTTTTTGTCCATTGTGCCTCCTGAGAGGCCTAACCCTTTCCTACAATCCTGCTTTGCTGTGGCATTCTGAAAGCACAGAGCACCTTCGTCTTCAGCTAGCAGCTTGTGGCATAGGAACAGATGGAGCCTTTGCCTTCAGAAGCCTTCAGATGCTCCTCCACTAGAGCCTGTTACTAACGTCTCTTCCCCACCCCCAACAGTAAGACATACGTGGTGGATGCGGTGATCGTGGGAGTGCGGCGGGAACTTGGGGCGTGTTTGGAGCCAGGACGCCCCGCCGGAGTGGACAGGCGCGCCAGGCGGGGCAGCTGCGGGGCCCTGATGTGTGACGGATGGCCTGTTGCTGCCATGCATCACCCGGGCCCGGCTGCCCTGGCGGCACGTCGCAGCCGTACATCATCAGAGCGGTGCCCGGCCGGAGCTGCAGCCTGGAAAGCAACTGCCCCATAAATTTTCATACAGCCAAGGAAGAGAGCTGTCATTTTCTTTTCTTCTAAGTTAAAGATGGACCCTCGGGAGAGGAGGGACAGAGGAGGCTTTCATATGACCCGGTGGCTTTTCAAGGACCCTAGAGGCACTAAGGTCCCCACGAACAGGCACTACTGCCATCAGCGCTGCCCAGGGAGGGAGGGAAATCCAGGGACCTCGGCTGGACTTGACCAGACTGTCCCAGTGTCTGACCCGGCACAGTCTGCCGTCTGCGGTAGAGATGTCCCACACTAATCTATGGAAAACTGTCTGAAGCAGTGGCCTGTTTGGTTATTCATCATTCAGCTGTCATCAGCTGAGCCTGCATTGAAATTTGCTGGAATTTGTTAAGCGTGCTTGGCAGTTTGTATCTCAGTGGAGGTGGGTGTTGCTAGTCCAGTGAAAAAATTTAACAAGTTTTTTTTTTTTAAGTTGAAATAATTTCCTTGCTAGGTTTCAGGATGCCACCGTGAACAAAGCATTCTAATAGCTTGCACTCTAGTTGGGTTTAAGGGGAAATACTAAAAATGAACACAAAATGAGTACGATAACTCTAATGTCAATACGTACTATCAAGAAGGAAGAGTGAAAAATCAGGATGGTGAGATACAGATAAGGCATCCATTTATCTGAAATATCAGGAAAGATATCACCCAGGCAGTTACTTAGGATCTAAGAGCTCAAAGATGAAAAGTTCAGGAAATTTCAGAGAAAAGATTGCCCTGAGCAGAGAAATAGCAACTGGAAGTCCTGAGACAGAAATAAGTATGCCCACATTGAGACAGAGGGAAAGCGGGGCAGCATATGCTACAGTGGGAATATGGGAAGAATTGAGACCGCAAAAGTTAGGTAGGTAGGCAAATTTCAGATCATGCAGGGACTTGTAATCCATGCTGAGATGTTTGGATAATCTTGTTGCCAACGATTAGAAAGTTCCAAGCTGGGCAAGCAGGGATAACGCTCTCAGTTCAGAAAGAATCCATCATTCTCCCTCACCCCGGAGAGGATGGTGATCACTGCATAGCAGATAAGACCAGGTAATGGGAGAGACCAGTGAGAAAGTTACCAGGTAGTTCAGGCTTCTCTGACCTCACAATTTTAGCACTGTGATGGTAAGGAGTGTTTGGATTTATAAAGTACTTTGAAAGCAGAGTTGACATGCCTTCCTAGAGGAGATGGTTTGCACAAAGAAGAAAGCAGAACCAGGAAAATTCTTAGGTCCTATTTCTAAATGACAGAGTAGAAGTGACATTGTTTTCTGAAATGTATAAAACTTTGGAATAAGAGCATGCTGGGATATCAGAACTATTGTTCCTTGGCCATGTTCTGTTGACATAACAGTTCGGTATTTCAGTGTAGCTCTCAAGTAGGCAATCTGAAAAAAATACTTCTTGAGCTCAGGAGGCAGGTATAGCAATGAAAATTGGATATTCTTTAGAGCTCAGGCCATAAGAAGTGATAATCCACTCCAGTATTCTTGCCTGGAAAATCCCTTGGATAGAGGAGCCTTGTGGGCTACAGTCCATGGGGTACATAGAGTTGGACACAACTTAGCAATTAAGCAACAACAAGTATTTAAAACCAGGATAGTAGTGGAATCTCCTAAGAAATAGGTAAAGCCGAAAAAGAAGGGAAATTTGAGGACAGGGTTGTCGGGCTTTCTGATATTTTGAGGTCAGAAAGTGGAAGTCCTCAGCTGGACTCTGCCACCCCAGGGACTGTTGCTGGCCAGGCTCCTCTGTCCATGGAATTCTCTAGGCAAGAACACTGGAGTGGGTTGCCATGCCTCCTCCGGGAGATCTTCCCAACCCAGGGATCAAACCCTGTCTTCTGCATTGCGGGTGGATTCCTTACTGTCTGAGCTACCAGGGAAGCTCAGTGAGACTGGAGGGGGTAGCCTATCCCCTCTCCAGGGGATCTTCCTGACCCAGGAATCAAACTGGGGTCTCCTGCACTGCAGTCAGATTCTTTACCAGCTGAGCTACCAGGGAAGCCCAAACAAGAGAGAAGGAATAAGTAGAAAGAGGAAGAAAAGGTGATAAGAAAAAGTTGAAAATAAAACTACGTGACTGCTGCATGGGAAAGAAACCTAGAAAACAAGCATTTCAGGAAAGAGAGTGGGTTTGCTGTGTCCACTGATGCTGAAAGGTGGTTTAAAATGAAGACCACGAATTTAGGCATCATCCTTCAAAAGACTGATGTTGTCATGACATTAGTATGAGAAACACTTGTTCAGAGATGGTATGGAGGTTCCAGGTGGAATGATCTAAGACACAATAGTAGCTGAGAAAGATAGGGACGCAGATGGTAGATGGAGAAATGAAACTAACTATAGAACAGACTTGTGGACTCTGTGGGAGAAGGCGAGGGTGGGATGTTTCAAGAGAATAGCATCGAAACATGTATATTATCTAGGGTGAAACAGATCACCAGCCCAGGTTGGATGCATGAGACAAGTGCTCGGACCTGGTGCACTGGGAAGACCCAGAGGGATCGGGTGGAGAGGGAGGTGGGAGGGGGGATCGGGATGGGGAATACATGTAAATCCATGGCTGATTCATGTCAATGTATGACAAAACCCACTACAATATTGTAAAGTAATTAGCCTCCAACTAATGAAAAAAAAAATAAATAAATAAATAAAAAGAAACTAACTACAGGTGAGATTAAGGTACATTTGAGCACTAGTGGGAATGAATCATTAAACTAATCGAGCAGGAAAAGCAAGAGAGAAAGGAAGACATTTCAAGAGTCAAAGGAGAATTGTTGTTTAGTCACTAAGTCATGTCCAACTCTTTTTCAACTCCATGGACTGTAGGCCATCAGGCTCCTCTGTCCATGGGATTTCCCAGACAAGAATACTGGAGTGGGTACCATTTCCATCTCCAGGGGATCTTCCCAACCCAGGAATCAAACCTGAGTCTCCTGCATCGGCAGGTGGGTTCTTTACCACTTAGACACCAGGGAAGCACCAGGGGAGGATAGATTCAGAGTATATAAATGGCCTTAAAAAAAAGAACAAGGACAATTTGTATATTTTAAAGGGAGATGAATCACATATGGTATGGATGGCGGTCGACTGGTAGAAGTGGTTGTAGTTGTTAATGGATGGTCAAAGACAGCAGCGTTGGAAATTAAGATTTTAGAATTGGTGCAGTTCCTGATGATGACAAAGACTTTGGTCTGTCTTGGAAATAAACAATCACTTAAGTCAGATGAATGAAGAAACACTGTAGAATCTATTGAGGTAAAAGAACTGATAGGCTGTTGGTAATCCATCTATATGGATAGCAAAGTTGTGAAGAATGATAATAGGTGCAAAAATCAATAAAAGTGATTTCTGGGAATTCTTGCTTGTCCAGTGGTCAGCACTCATTCTCACTGCCGAGGGCCCCGGTTCAATCCCTGGTTGGGGAGCTAAGATCACACGAGCTACATGGAGCAGTTAAAAAGAAAAGAAAAACAGAAAAAGATAGCGATCCAGATACAAACACCTACCTGGCTGTTCTCCTCGATTCATTGTGACCCACACCCAAGGCCCTGCATGCCTCCTTAGGGGTTTCTGGTCAACCCCACCCCTGACTGGTAGCTAGAAAGTACCTCGAAGTGGGAAGCAGGAACAGGCATCAGATGGTTCTCCACCTGGTACGTCATGGCTGGGTGCTGCTCACAAACTATTCCAAAGGGTGGAGACCCTGACGCCCAAACCAGGGTAGTACCACAGTATATAAAGTGAGATCACAGTAAAGTGTTACCAGTATTATTTCTTTTGTGATTCATTTTTATGAAAACAGTACTGTACATGATTATTTAATTTTTAAAATACAATTACTTGAATGCTTTTGATTTGTGTTCTTTTGTTTTTCTCCTGACCAATTGAACTAAAAATATCTGAGAAACAATTCTTTCTTGCTAAGGAACATCTGATTGTTTTTCCTTCTGAGGAGGGTAAATATCTGTGTTTCTAATGTATGTTTTATGCCCTTTCACTGCATAACTGCTTCTATTAAATGATATTGTTGTTAAGTTAAGTCATGTCTGACTCTTTGTGACCCCATGGACTATAGCATTCTAAGCTCCTCTGTCCTCCACCATCTCCTGGAGTTTTTTCAAATTCATGTCCAACAAGTTGGTGATGCTAACTAGCCATCTCATCCTCTGCCATCCCCTTCTCCTCCTGCCTTCAGTCTTTCCCAGCATCAGCGTCTTTTTCAATGAGCCAGCTCTTTGCAGCAGGTGGCCAAAGTATAATCTATGTAAAAAATTCATAATAACAACAGACTCAGAGTTGTTAAATAATTTATTTAAATGACATGATACATAACTAAGATAAATGCTCCAGGATCCTGAAATCTGGGTGAGTCTATTGTCTGCTTTAAAGGAATGTCTCCCTTCCATGGGATATAGGAGACACTGATTTAAAAGAGGGAGAGACAGAGAAGGAGAAAGACAAAGAGAAACATAGAAGGAGACAAAGAGACAAAGAGTGAAATCAGGATGCAATCTCAGACAAATATGTCCACATATTGGAAGAAATCCCTATGCTTTTCCAGACATTTCTTGGCTAATATGAAAAACGTGCATACATCCAGCTAACTGACTGGAAAATACTCTGTAAAAGTGTCCCCCCCCCACCCCCCGCCAAAGCTGTACCTGTGTGGTTTCATTGAAGAGTTTCTTGAGCAGACGTTGTTGGAAACTCAGGGAAAGGGCGCCAAGACTTTCTTAGAAATGTATTTCATGGTGCAGTATCAAGGGACAGCATTTATTTTGGATGTGCTTCCATGGGAGTACTGAGGTTCTGTGGGGTAATCTTGCTTTTTTCCCCCTACATGTGATGTTAGTGATCCTAAATTAATTACAAACCAAAAATTAACATGCTCCCTAACGGAAATATCTTAGTGTTTCTCTTAGCCTTTTCAAAATTCT